AGCTCACTTAGGGCACAGTAGCAAGGTCTTGTCTCTGCTCCATGATGTTTGGCCCTCAGCTGGAGACTTAAAACCTCAAAGATAAAATCATCTGAAGGCTCCTTGATTACTTATGTGAACTTTGCTGGAGCTATTAGCCCACATGGGGTCATTTCATTAAGATATAATGGAGTGGAAGGGACTCAACTGAAAATCTTTATTTTTTTTTCGTATGAACAAAGGATTTTCCAAGCTCATAAGAATCTTTTCTGAGAGAGGCTGGGCTTGGGTTCTGATCTAAGGGAGTTTTAGAGATCAGAACTTTGGAGCATGAACTAACATTTTGGCTTTGGAAAGGGCAGCCTGTCATTACAGTCATGGATATACAGGCATGTGTTGCTTATCAACGGGGATACATTCTGAGACATGTATTGTTAGGCGATTTCTTTGTCATACTTATACAAATGACTACACACCTCGCCTATATGAGATAGCCTATTGCTTCTAGGCTGTAAACCTGTACAGTGTATTAATGAACTGAATTCTGTAGGCAATTGTAACACAATGGCAAGTACTTGTGTATCTAAACATATCTAAACACAGAAAAGGAATTTTTTAGCTCTGTTATAATCTTACCAGACCACCGTTGTATACGTGGTCTGTCATTGACCGAAATGTCATTATGCAGCACGTGAGTATATATCACATCAGAGCCTGCTCTGTTCTTCAGTATTCAGGATGATCTGTACCAGACTCCTTACTTATTCTTCCCAACTCTCCATGCCATCTCGAGGCTTGAAATTCAGAAACATAGCTGATGGTGCCACTTGTTTCTCTATTTGACTCAGGGACTTGGTTGTCAGCTGTCCTCAAATACCCCTTATCCACCCATTCCAGAGAAAAGTTCTCCTCCCACAGTGCTTTGAGATGTCTTCCCTGAGCAGATTAAGGGAGCACTTTCTCTAAAGCCCCTCACTCATCTCTAAGATAAATCATTAGATCCAGAGAAATCTGGTAGTGTGTGGCCTCTCTAGCCCTTCTCAACCCCTTGTGGGTCCAAAGAATTAGATAAAGTACTGTCTTAGGAAACAACAGCAACCACAAAACTACACTTTCCTAACTGGGTAAAGTTTTAATAAAATAGAAATTTTTGGTTAAAATTCAGTTTAGAATTGGAAAGGCCATTTCTTGAAACCTATAGGTATTGAAGCTTCTAAACATAATGTTCAAAGCAATATTGATATTAGTACAGAAACCTGAAACAAGCATTTCACCATAAAAATATGTTCTCTTTTGCTGAACTCATTTTTTGTTGTCTCCAAGGAATTCCTTAGCATTAGTTTGAGTATATTAGGCTTTAAGGGAATTTTATAGGAATATTATTAATATTCCTGTATTATTTTAAAGGAGTATTGTCATCATCAATAGTTCCTATCTTCTGTAGGGCAGGCACTGAAAGAGTTTCTAGTGACATCTTATTTAACAACCTTGTGAGGCTGATGGTATTATCCCCATTTTAAAGACAAGGAAACTGAGACCCAGATAATTTATGTAACTTGGTCGGGGTCACATATCTAACAAGTAGCAAGCAGAGCTATCTCACTTGAAAACGATTGTGTGGAGTAACTTCGCCAGTATTTGGGTAGCTGTAAATTTTTCACAAGGATACAAATAGATTCTAGGTTCTTTGGGATCCCGGCGTCTTCCCTTTTCCCAGTTCCTAATGTTATGACCTGCTTGTTTCCTTCCAATTGCTAATCAGAATCTATAATTATTTTATTTATTGTATACTTTGTTTTTTGTATGTCTTCCCAACAAGAACTCCATGTGGCAAGGGCCTGGTTTATCTTGTTTAAAATCATGTTCTCACTGCCCAAACAGATGTGATTGATGTATAGAATATGCTTAATCAGAAGTTACAGAGCGAAGGAATTAAGGGAAGCGGTCTCTTGTTTGGCTCAGCATTCATTGAGTACAGGGTAGTTAAGGTAAGTGGAGTTAGATCCTAAAGAGAATGAGTAAGCCAAAGAAAGAATTGATGTCAGGCAAGAGACCATCCAAACAGAGAAATAAAAAGAAAACCCAGTTATTGTAGAGTAGAGTAAATATTCAAAATTTGTTAATTTTTCATGGAAAAAGATGATTCACAATACAAAGTAATGTAGAAAATATAAGATTAGTGAGCCAGAAAGGAAAAAGAATTAAAAAATAAACTACAATGAAAACAAAATTCATCTTTTCATTATTTTCAATACATTTTTATCAAGCATCTGCTACTTACAAGGGACTCTTAGGCATTGAGGGTGTTTCTAACATACTTTTGCCTTTAAGGAGCTTAAGTCTAGCAGAAAGATGAGATGTGTACATCAGTAACAAGGAAGAAAAAATGAGAATCATAAGAAAAGTACAAGAAAATTCTGTGGGAGTTCAAACTAGTCACAAAAGACTACATATTGTATGATTTCATTTATATGGAATGTCCAGAATTGGCAAATTTATAGAGACAGAAAGTAGATAAGTGGCTGCCGAGAGCATGGGGCTTGGGGATAGAAGGAATTGGGGAGTGACTATTAATGGGTATGGGTTTCTTTCAGGGGTGGTAAAACTGTTCTAACACTGTGGTGATGGCTGTGTACCTCTACTAAACTTCACTGAAGTTAACACTTTAAATGGGTGAATTTTGTACAGTAGGTGGATTATATCTTAATTAAACTATTATGTAAAAATTCTATGAAAGTTCTAGAAAGACATTGGTACAAGGGGTGAGGAAGGGGGAACTAGAGGAGATTTTGAGGACAGAGAAGATAGAATGAAGAAACCATGGATTGTCAGGTGGCAGATAAATGGGACAATCTGGGGGTGTTTAAGGAGGATTTTCCTTTCTTGTTTTTGAAAATAGGAAATTTCCTGGAATGAGGAGAGAAGTTGCTAGGAGGGGCAAGAGGATGCCAGGTGTTCACATGAAGAGTGAAAAATCTATAAATAAATTTAGAAAAAGTGAAACAAGAAAAATCTTATGAGCACTATGCTTGAATAATAAAGAATTTGTTAAAAGTCTGACTCTCATCCAGCAAACATCACAATTCACATGGACTGACAAAGAGGGTAACATTTAGATATTACATTGTTTAAAAGTACAATTTTTTGATCCAAACTGATCATATAACTTCAATCAATTTAAATTCAGCCCCTGATTTCTATAGATAAGGCTTAAAGATAGTATGTACTTTGATTTACTAAATAATTATGAGTTAAATTGTTTTAAAATTATATCAGTAAGGTAAAACTTTTTTATTCTTATGAATAAATTATTTAGCTGTTTTAAAATATTTTATATATTCTCTCAATAGTATACCATTAGAAAAACGTTTTTTTTTCCCCTGCTGTACCTGGATGGCCATAATAAATTATTCTAGGCAGAAATTCTCCTATCTGCACATTGACTCTGTCAAGTTCACTGTGGTTCCTTTTTCTGTATTACTGGTTTATTTTTGCTTTTGGATTTTGTTTTTACTTTCAGAATGGAAAAATACACATTGGTGAACAAATGTATCTTTGCATACATATTTCTATACTATAATAGTATTTCCATACTATTATCACTTTAAATAAGCAAAATAGTTCAATAAAGGTGGTTCTTAAAGAGGAAAAAATAATTTTTCACAAGAAGCTACCAAGTCTAAGGAACTGGTGCATACTAATGGAAACTTTTCATGTGCAGTGTCTTCTTGCCTGGAGCTGGGAAGAATTAAGGAAATGATCCTGAAAGGTCTAAATCATTCCTTTCCCTCAGCCCTGCCCCTCCTCCCCATCTTATATGAAAGCATTCATCTGATTTTATTTTAAAAGCTTGTGATGATGACTTGGCAAATAGCCCCAGCAGGATATTCTAGTATTTTTGAAAAATGACTTCTAAGATGCCTGACACATTGGCACATGTACTAACTTCAACCAACATCCCTAACGAGGGACTGGGTCTCTATTGCCACCACAATATCAGACCCAACTTCTCTGCATTGCTTGAATATTTTGACTGTATTGTAGTAGTCATCTGGATTTACTGAATTTTTCATGGATTTTTGTTTTAGTATCTCATGTATCAGGTAAAAAGGGGCTATTTTATTGTACAGAAAATGTGTTAGAGGTTTGGCATGGCTCAAAAACTACAGTAGTGCTACTTCCGGACATATATAAATCTTCTATTTTTGGTGTGTGTGTAGTTGTATTGAATCCAGATTAGTTTTAGTTGGGTGTGTTTATGATGTTCTCCAGAGAGCTTAGCACTCTGAAGTTTTTCTAAATTAATGAGTGGATTGCATCATGGATGACCAATGTTGTGGCTTCTTCAGATGCAGTGATGTGTGTGTGTGTGTGTGTGTGTGTGTGTGTGTGTGTGCGTGCGCGCGCGCACGCGCATGTAGGGGGTTGGGGTGGAGGGAGAGGGATCAAGTACACTTGGGATTTGGAATTTATAAAAATGGTTTGTTAGATTCCATACTAACTGAAATTTATTTCTTATAGAAATAATATCTGTTTACTCTGGATAATTAAAAATATATATATATGGACCCCAGAAAGAAACAAACAAAAGTGACATCTCAGTGTTTGTCAGTGTTAAGATTTTGGTTTAACTTATCTCAATCTCTGTGTGTGTGTGAACATTTATACATGTTTGTTTTTGCAAAAATGAGCCTATGTTATAAATGTTGTTCTATAAATTATATTCAGATATATCTATTCATTAAATATTTTCTATAACATCATTTTTGATGTTTGTAACATTGTATGGCTATATCATATCTTTTGAACATTAGATTTTTTTCTTTATCCTGTTATCTTGCAGCAACTGAAAGAAAGAGACTTTTGAAATTTGGGGCCACGGAATTGGCTCCCTGCCTGCACCACCGTCAGTAGTGTGTTATGTGTTGCTGCTCCCTGCCCTGAGACCCACCCCAGCCAAAGAGTGCTGTGGAACTGATCGCTGCCAAGAGCTCATCTACTTCTGCTGTTTCCTATTGCAGGAGGCGGAGCAGGTGGTGCCCAGCCAGTCGGAGTGTCAGGGGAGAGCAGGAACACCAGCTTATGAGAGTCCACAAAACAACGCCTTCAGGTGCCAAGAAACAGTGCGACTTCAACCAAGGTGGGCCCTTTGTTGCTAGAAGCTGCCTGGGCTTCCTTTTCTAGAAATGCAAACTTATGTGCTGGCCACCTCCATGCGACAGTCAAGGCTTCCTCACTTTTGTTTCATTCCTTGTAGTCAGAGAAGCTGCTTAAAGAGCCCTAGAAGGCGAATCACTGAGTCAGTTAAAGAGAAATGTTAATGACCTACTTTCTCTGTCTTCCGTTTGAAGATAGTCCACCTTAGGGCTGAGGGAGGAGACAGGTCCTGCCCTTGGAGAGAAATGCTGATTTCATTCATTCTATCTCCTTTATTTCAAGCTAGAGGGGATTAGGTTTTCATCTGGAATCATGATAAATTAGCGATGACTGTGTAGGCATCATGCCAACTGCTTTTCACATATTGTCACGTTTAGCCTTCACTGTTTCCTCATAAAGCGGAGTACTCATAGTCCCATTTTATGGAGGCGCCTGAGGCCGAGACACATTAAGGTGCTTGCCTGATGTTGCACAAGTGAAAAGGGCTGAGCCAGAATTTGAACCTACAGATGTCTGATTACAGCATGGCAAGAGCAGACTGTGTGCTGACCCAGGTGTTGGGCAGTGACCTTCGTCCTGCAGTAGCCCTGAGGTTGGCCTCTCTAGCCTATTAAATCCTGCTGGATCCAGGGTGAGGATGTGGGTGGAAAGCTGCCCATAGAAAGGTTGGCATGACATGCTGATGGGAGCCTGGCATTGCAGCTGTCTTGGAAAGTCTCTTCTACAAATAAACAGAAGGAAGAATTCAACCGCTAGTTGTGTCAGCTGTCTTTGTAGGATCTTGTGTACAGTGTAATTGTAGCTCTCACTCAGTGGAAAGGGAGTGTTGTACTTCTGAGCATGACCTTTAGAATCTTTTTTTTCTAAGGCAACATGGTCTAAATGAATCAACAACTACAGAGAAGATTGACTGTTCTATGTAATTGTGCTTTAAAATATCAAACATAATAAATCTAGAATCATAGAACCCCAAAGGATTGGAGACGACCCTAAAGGTAGGATGATCCATTTTTCCAAGAGGATTCATGGGAGCTTTTAAAACCCTCCTCATAAGAGGCCATCTCTTATTTGTTTATTCTTACCTGACACAGGTAATACCTGTTGGACTCAACTTTGTCATTTCTCCACTGATCAGGACATTCTCCCTCCTAATTTAGGCCTTTTTATAATAAGGCTGATTTAGGCTGGCTAGAATCAATTTAGGCAATGACCTTGTCTCCCTGTACCAGAATGATGACTGCTTCTCTCAGCCCGAATAAAGTCAACTCTATTCCCATGCATATTTCAAAATAGTATAAAAACAAAATAAAAATCAAATCCAGATAATACATGCTGTGCATGGAATGTAGGGCAGTCCTTTGGAGATGGATATTCAACAGAGGCTGATAGGGGAAAATGGTATTAGCAATTAACCTTGTCAAAGATATTTGATGTTCAATAAACTTAAAACATTTTGTATTTCACCTATGGTGGGAAAGCTAACTGATAATTTTACTATTGTCAGATGAAGCAGAAATGTAGTAGAATTTTGTAGTAGGAAGCATTCACATATGAGTACTTGACAGCTGACAGTATTAAATTAGAATACTCCTAGTAAAGAACATATTAAGCAGCAATTCTACATTGGGGGTGGGGGGAGTTACCCTTTATTCAGATTCTCAGACATCTATGGCACCTTGCCTCAGGAAAAAGAAGATGCACGCACACACGAAAATTTGTGTTAAATTTTACAAGGTTCTTAGACCTCCTCTGTGTGCCAGGAAAAGAAATCAAATACCACAGGGTCACCAGGCAGCCTTCCTCATCAGGAGGGGGTTTTCTTCTAGTCCCCCATAGATTGGCTTCTTTTGCTTGCAAAGCAGATCTTGTCTCTCTTCCTCTACCCCTTAGCAACCCCCCATAGAATCCCAAATAGGTTATTGTCCTTTCTTCTCCACCCGCCCCCCCAGCCTCCATGCCCCACTTTCAAAAGATCTAGCTTTCTGAGCTAGCAGCATTCCAGAATGTTCTGTGCACCAGTGTCAGCAATTGCAGGATCTGGTAGTATTTAGATTGGGCTGGTAACTTTTGAACTACGTTATTTATCACAACCATGGTGGTGTCACCCAGGGACATTCTAATGGAACTTAAAAAAAAATCCATCTCAAAATATTACAGGGATTGTGCAATTTGATGAACTGGTGAAATGAGATCTGAGGCTAAAAACAACTTTGAATCAGGTAGCTCACATTCCTGATAACATTCCTCTCCTAAGCCAACATATGGCCAAGTTCGGGCATATCGTGTCTAATAGGATCTTGCCAGAGAGAGACATGATACTGTAACAGGACACGCCTAGGTCTGGCTCAGAGTGAGGGAAGAAGCCAGGCTAACTCTCAGCAGGTGTAAAATGCTACTTTCCTGGGGGTCGGCGGCAGGGTGGAGAATGTTATAAACATAATGAACAAGAAAAGAAAGATCTTTGCGCAGCAAGGAGCCTCCAAGGGGTCACACATCATTTGGGTGAGACTTGCAGAAGTAGTTAGTCTTCAGAGAATGAATCCATCCTCGTAGAAGTGAGATTTTGGAGGCAATTAAGGTCATGGGGTCAGTATTGATCTTACCAGGCATACCAAATGGTTTCATACCTATAGCTCAGAACTCTCGTGTTGTATCCAGGGCTTTTTCCAGCACAGGAGCTTTCATCTGTGGCTGTGGAGGAGCTTCACGGAGGTCTATGAATGTTTTTTGCCAAAGTTTGAGTGTACATATACTATATCGGTTCTCTGTTGCTACTGTAACAAATGTCCACGAACTTGTGGCTTAAAGCAACACAAATTTATTATCTTATAATTCTGTAGGATATGAGTCCAACATGGGTCTTGCTGGACCAAAATAAAAATGTTGCAGGATTCCATTCCTTTCCAGAGGCTCTAGGGAAGAATCAACCCATTTCCTTGCCTTTTCCAGCTTCCAGAGGCTGCGCATATTCCGTGGATTGTGGTCCCTTCCTCCATTTTCAAAGTCAGCAGTATTGATCGCATCTCTCTGATCATTCTTCCATATTCACATCTCCGTCTGATTGTGGCAGGGAAAGATTTCCTAATTTTAAGGATTCATGCAATTAGATTGGGCACGCTCAGATAATTCAAGTTAATCTGCTTATCTCAAGGTCTTCAATTTAATCAGATCTGCACCGTGCCTTTTGTCATGTAGGGTAGTGTTTCTGGGGAGGAACAATGAATGAAGACGTGGAGCATTCTCTGGGAGAGGATTATTCTGTCTACTACACGTATGTTCATTTTTCCAGGGTAAATCTCTAAAGCATTTTTCAGAATTTCATATGGAGCACATGACCCCCCAAAAAGGTTTAGAGCCTCTGTGGTAGAGTCTTCCTGCCTCCAAGTTTGCTTGCTCTTTTGAATTCCCTCAACAGAGCCAGCTTCAGACATAGTTTTTAGCTTTGTTTATCCTCTTTCATTGCACCCTGGTCCCATTTGCTATGTTTCCCTTCTCCCCCCACCTTTATTATATTACTTGGCAATACAGTGCCCCGCACCAGAGGTCTCAAAATTGGTGTCCTACAGGTGTATCTGGTGGGGAGACATATTTGGCTTCCACAGTATTAAAATATTTTGAGTCAATATTTAAAAATCGAGAGTTTCTACAGATTTTTGGCTTTCTTTGAAGGATCTGAAGATGGGATAACCCAGGGTCTACATTCCTACAAGGCAACAATTAGCTGAAGCTGAGAAGCAGCTCTCCATTTTTCTATAATTCCCAACCAGCTCTTCCCATTTGTTTATGCTCTTGGCCCAGCTCCCATAGGCATTTGATTTATAATGCCTGCTTTGATCCATTTCTTCCTGGCAACTGCTCATCCTGTGGACTCTGGAGCTGCCTGGAGCGAAGTCTTAACATGGTGATAGCTGATGTCTTGATGCCAACTTTTCCCAGATGACATGTTTACATTTTAACATGGGCCTTCAGTGCAATGAATGGAGAGGCTGGGTGTTACACTACTCTGGCATGCTCCTCAGTACCTGTGTTTTCAAAACATGTAAAATTATAGAACTACATTTAGTTAGAGCTGGTAGAAGCCTTAACAATCATTTAATACAACTCTTTCATTTTCTAGTTTGGCTCCCAGTGAGGTTGTGATTTGCTTAAGTTCTCACTCCCTTTGATAAGAGAACCAAGACAAGCCCCATCAATTTGTTTAGAGTAGCCACTTGATGAATATGCATCAGTTGGACTGATTTTTAAAGCTAAAGCCAGTGCCAATCCTGTAAACTCTCAGATATGACAAAAGAGAATTTATGAATGTAAGAGAATACTAATGAAGTTGGGGATTTCTTACCCAGCTAAGTAAATTTACTTTTGAGAGTGATTAACTCACTTGTATTTAAAATATTGTATTAAAATTTATGACAGCATTAAACCTTTAAGTCATTAATGACCGTGTCTGTATAAACAGGAGCTATTTTATAGCATTGTCTTACTACTAATTAGGTTGGTGGTTACATTTGCCAGTTCCAGTTCATTGTCCTCTTCCATCTGGAAGTCCCCCATTAGAGGGGGTTGAAGATCCTTAGAAAGAATAATGGCTTTTGTTGGCCTCACTGTTTGTGACATTCCAGATGAAAGGAAAAGGTGGGGGCTTTGTTGCTTTATGGAAAAAGAATGTTTTGTTGGCAGCAATTTTTCCATGGGGGATAAATCCTTTTATCTTTTGTTTTTAAGATAAACAACTTGTATGTGTGTATATGTATGTGTGTGTGTGTGTGTTGTAATAACTAACTGTTTATTATTTAAATGTTTTTCATAGAAGTAAGCAGGGTCTTAATGAGTTCTGCTAGAAAGAAAGAATGAGTAACAGATGAGCACCCAGAGAATTTTTAATAATACAAAAGACATGATCCCCTTTCTTGGACTGTACCAGAGCAGGAGCTCAGCATGTTTCCAGTATGTTCCTCATCTTCATCATTAGTGTGCACCCAGGGC